ACAGATAAGGTGCTTCTCAGATAAGACCAAATTCAAGGAGTTCATCATCACCAAGCCCTTATTATATGAAATGTTAAAGGGACTTATCTAAGAAAAAGAAGTTAAAGAAACATGAACAGTGAAAGGACAACGAACTCACAGTTATTAACAACCACACCTAAAACGAAAGCAAACTAAAAGGACAGCTAGATCAGGAGTGGAAACATAGAAATGAAGATCTCAAGGAGGGTTAGCAACAGGGGAGTGGGAGGAGGAGACGGGGGGAGAAGGTACAGAAAACAAGTAGCATAGACAGTAGATAGAAAATAGATGGGGGGGCAAGAATAGTATGGGAAATATAGAACCTAAAGGACTTGAGACACATGGACATAAACTAAAGGGGGGTAATGGTGGGGTTGGGGGGGCAGGGTGGAGAGGAATGAAGGGGGGAATAGAACAACTGTAACAGCATAATTAATTCAAAAAAAATAAATAAATTTATTTAAAAAAATAAATAAATAAAAATAAAAATAAAAAAGGGAAAGCTATATTAAAAAAAGAAACTATGTGTCTATAAGGAAAATGTAATATGTTCAAAATCCAACACATTGCACAGACAATCTAAAAGAGAGGAGAAAATTCAAAGCTTATTCTGTTTTAGAACTAATCTTTTATCTTACATTTAAAATACTAGGATGTCACTGACTCTAAGAATTCCAAAGAGGTGAAATTAAAATATTTTAAAAGAAAGCCTCTATAAAAATCAGACTAGAAAAGATGAGAAGTAGATCTAGTGATATATCCACAAAAGTGAAAATTAAATACACTGTGAAGTGGATGAAGTCAGTAAAAAATGGGTGGTTTCTGTGATATCTAAATGATCAAAGTTGTTTTGATGTATGAAAACTTTTACTTAACATCCCTGTCAAAACACACATAGGACTTCTGGTTCTGGCCACAACAGTGTATTTTTTATCAGATAAAACCTTCCCACCATGGCCAGGTAGCTCAGTTGGTTGGAGGACTGACCCGATATACCAAGGTTGTGGGATCAATCCCTGATCAGGGTACATAAAAGAGTCAACCAATAAATGCATAAATAAGTAGAATAACAAATCAATGTTTCTTTCTCTCTCCCTTCCCTTTTCCTCTCTTAAAAAAAATCAATTAAAAAAATTTTTAAAAGCCCTTCCTACCAAAAAGCACTATATAACTATATAAACAATGTAAAAGTGAATACAATACATACAACCATCTGAAGGCCCTGAAGAACCAGTACTACACAGAAGACCCATGGACATGAACAACAGGGTGGGGACTGACTGTGGGAGCTGGGGTGGGTGGGATGGGCGAAGGAGGGCAAAGGGGGAAAAATTGGGACAACTGAAATAGAGCAACAATATTTTTAAATGATTAAAAGAAAAAAAGAAGAGGAGGAAGGAATGCTTCCCAACTCATTGTATGTGGCCAGCGTTACCCTAATACCAAAATCAGACAAAGACATTACAACAAAAGAAAACTACAGACCACAAACACAAATATGCATAACAAGCCCTGGCTAGTGTGGCTCAGTGGACTGAGTGCCACCCTGCAAACCAAGGGGCGGCGGCCTGTTCAATTCCTAGTCAGGGCACATGCCTGGGTTTCAGGCCAGGTCACCAGGAAGAGGTGCACAAGAGGCAATCACACACTGATGTTTTCTCTTCCTTTTCCCTCCCTTCCCCTCCCTTCCCCTCTCTCTAAAAATAAATACAATATTTTTAAATTCCTAACAAAGTATTAGCAAATTAAATCCAGCAATTTATAAAAAGGGTAATAAATCATGATCCAAAGGGCTGGTTTATTCCAGAAATACAAAATTGCTTTGAAATTTGAAAATCTATCAATATACATCAGAAAGAAAGAAGAGACAAATTGGAAAGCAAAAAAAAAAAAATCTGCCTAAAAATGGCATAATTATCTATGTAATATATCTCCAAAGAATCTACAAAAAAAGCATATAAAGAGCCCTGACCAGTGTGGCTCAATGGGTCGGGCTCATCACACAAAGTAAAGGTCACGAGCTCGATTCTTAGTCAGCGCACATGCCTAGGTTGCAGGTTAAATCCCCAGTCAGGGCATGCAACAAATGGATGTTTCTCTCCCTCTCATTCTCCCTCCCTTCCTCTCTCTCTAAAAATAAATAAATCTTTGAAAATTTTAAAAGTATACAGAGCTAACAAGTGAATTAATAGAAAAGTCACAAGATATACCAATATACTAAACTCTACCATATTACTATATATTAGCAACGAACAATTTGAAATTGAAAAGAAAAACTGACATTAGCATAAGAAAGAATACTCAGGTGTTTCCTAAGAAAATATACAAAAATACATATACTAAAGACTATAAAATATTGCTGAAATTTTAAAAGACCTATCAATAGAGAGATACATCTTGTCTATGTAAACCCAATATTGTTAAGATGGCAACTTTCCCAAATTGATCCACAGATTCATTACCAGCAGGTATTCCAGCAAGTATTTTTGAAGAAAAGGACAAGCCAATTTTAAAATTTATATGGAGATGCAAAGAACCTAGAATAGCCCAATGATCTTGTTTTTAAAAAAGAGCATAGTTAGAAGACTCAGACTACCTGATTGTAAGCCTGGGTTACTGTAAAAGACTATATGGTATTGGTGAAGATTAGACACATAGATCCATGGACAAGAAGAGAGTCCAGAAAAGACCCACACAAATATGGACAAGTGACTCTTTTTAATGGAAAAGGAATCTTTTCAACAAACAATGCTGAAGCAAATGGACATCCATGTGCAAAAAAAGAGTCTCAGTTTACCTCACACATTTTATAAAAACTAACTCAAAATGGATCACATACCTAAAGGTAATGTGTAAAACTTCTTGAAGAAAAAAGAAATTTGTGACATTCGATTAGGCAAAGAGTTCCTTTATATGAAACCAAAACATAAACCATAAAAAGCATAAGCTGAAGTAGCTCCCCATGGCTGATGCTGAAAACAATGAGCACCATAATGACAGTCTTGCCCTATAACTTAAATCATTTAAGGTAAATATTCATGAGTCCATGTTCATATAAAAATTGAACAAATAAATCAGTGAGGGAGATGGGCCACAGAAAAATTCCAATTAATAAATGTTGAAGTAATGAGAGAAATAGAAAAAAATCACCATTAAAACAACATAGTAGTAATTGTTGCACGTGATCCACCAATGCATGCTAAAATTAGTAAGCGAAAATTTGAGGAGAAACAAGGTAAGTCCACAGTTTTAAAGTATGTCCTGCAAGATACATAGTAATTACAAAAGGAATAAAGGAAAACAATAAATAATGAACATACATTTCACCAAAAAAAATCTACAAGTGGCAAATAAACACATGAAACTATGCTATATATCATTATTCATTAGGGAAATGCAAGTTAAAACCACAAGGAAATACACCTTCCATAATGAATAAAATTTAAAATTCTGACAATTGCTGACAAGGATGGGGATCAACTATAAATTTCATACATTGCTGGTGGGAATGCAAAATGGTACAGTCACTTTGGAAAAGAGTTTGGCAGTTTCTTATAAAGTTAATCATACATTTACCCTAAAACCCAGCAATGCCACTCCTAGTTATTTACACAAGAAAAATGAAAACATGTCTATCAAAGACCAGTATGTGACAGCAGTTTTAATCACAACAGGCTGCACCCAATCCACTGAGCCACACCACCAAGGGCTGAAAAGGAAAAAGTTTCCTAATTTGACTCAACATATAAAAAGCCTGCAATTACTGTCATACAATATGGAGGAATACTGAACACCTTTCCTCAAGTTCAGAAATGAGATATGGATATCCACTATCACCAATTCTAACCTACATAGTAATGCAGTTTTAGTATTTGCAATAAAAAAAAGAAATTGTAGGGATTCACTCTAAAATCATTTAAGTTGAGAACTGACTAATATGGCTCAATAGATTGAGTGCCAGCCTGTGAACTGAAAGGGCCAGGACTCTGGCCAGGGTTGTGCAAGAGGCAACCAATCAATGTAGCTCTCACACATTGATGTTTCTCTCCCTCTTTTCCCCCCTCTACTCCCCTCTCTCTAAAAGTAAGTAAATAAAATATTTTTTAAAACATTAAAAAAATCATTTGTTAAGTTGAATAATAAAGTTTATTTACTTTAGTTCAAAAAAAATTTAAGAAGGCCTAATCCTATGACCTACTAATTCCACCCAATGAAAATAAAGTACATATGTTCACCAAAAAGATCTACAGTGAAATGTTCACAGCAGCACCAGAGTAGCCTACAACGAGAAATGATCTGAATGCCCATTAGGAGTTGAATAGATTAAGAAAATGTAGAATATGCAAAAAACAGAATAGTACATAGCAATGAAAGTGAACAATTTATAAGTACATGTAACGATGTGGACCAATTTCATAAGCACAATTTTGAGTGGAAAAAGGCAGTCACAAAAAGTACATAAACATTATTCCATTCATAAAAAGTAAAAAATGGATGAACCAATCTACACTGCCAGGAGTCAGGATAATAGTTACCCACAGGTAGGGTGGTGGTAATAACTGAAAGGCAGTACTTTTGAGTACTGGTAATATTCTGTTTCTTGATCTGGTTGTTGGTTACACAGGTGTATTCAAACTGAAAATTCAGTGAACTTGTATATCTTAGGACTTGTGCAGTTTTCTGCTTTTTATACGTCAATGAAGAGGGGTTTTTTTTAATTTAAAAAAAAAAAAAAGGGCCCTGGCTGGTGTAGCTCAGTGGATTGAGTGCCAACCTTCAAACCAAGAGGTCATAGGTTCAATTCCCAGCAGGGCACATGCCTGGGTTGCAGGCCAGGTCCCCAGCTGGGGGTGTGTGAGATGCAACCTAATCAATGTATCACTCACACATGGATGTTTCTCTGTCTTTCTCCCTCCTTTTCCTTCTCTCTAAAAGTAAATAAATAAATAATTAAAAAAGGAAAGAAAAAGAAACCCTACCCATTGGAATAAATAGCCCGTCATCCTCTATCTCTTCTTCGGCTTGGTGATCTGAAGTCCTGAGTGGCTTTCCTTGAGGCGAGGCACAGGTATCTAGCTGAGATGATTTCCTAGGTTGGGCTCCTGGTTGTACAGAGTGGCTGCCTGATGGCTGTAAAGACATCTCTCCTCCAGAATGCATCTGAGGTTTTCCTGGAAGAATCACAAACACTGCTTTACATTTTAGCTAGTCTCATTCATACTCTGCTACAGAAATCAGCATATGGTTATAAATCCCTTTTTTGTTAGATTACTTCATTAATGATGCATACACTACATAGGTATTCCTTTCTCTCAACAATAGTGTCCTAAGAAAAACACTGAAATAAACTCAAATCCAATCTACTCATCTGTAAAATCAGGGAGTTGAAGTAGATAATTACTAGCGCCTTCTTAGCTCTAGTATACTGTGACCTACGCATTTTTTTCCCTACAGAAAAATCAGATTCGTAACTGCAGGGTGGGGTTATAGCCCTGATGACTAAAGGACACTTTATGTCGATGACCATTAACATTACATTTAATTAACCATAAATTATATACATTATAAAATGCCCTGAACTTCCCGACACTGTAAATCAATTTTACAGAGCATTACAGTAAAAATCACTATAAAATTATCAATATCGGCTTTACAGTTCACTAGACAACTTTCCTCTTTCTCACCTCTTCATGAGTACTAATTGTTCTTTTTGAGGGCAGTGTGGAGCATTAAAAAGGAAAGAAACATTAATGGGGTATTCAAAGTAAACAGAATTAATCTGTGCTGAAAAAAGAATACACAGAAAATCTACAGAATATACACAAGAAATTATTAAATAGTGACTGCTTTTGAGAAGAGAACTTGAGGACAAGAGGACAGAACTGAAAGGGTGCCTACTCTTTCATTATGTACTTTCTGTATTTATGATTTTTTCCATGTTTGTGCATTACATAGTCAAAAAAGATTTTTTTTACACTGACCTGCTGTTCCACTTACTTATGCACTCATCAGTTGATGTATATGCTGAAGACTAAACCTGTGACCTTGGCATACCAGGACGACATTCTAACCAACTGAGCTATCTGGCCAGAGCAATGTAAAAAAATTTATGGAGTACATACGAGTCTAGATTATACCAGAATTATTTAGCTGTTGTATTTTACTTCATTAGATTTAATTTTGCACTTAAGAGTCACAGCAAAATTGACAGAAAGTATCAAGTTCCCATATGCCCTGTAACTACTCACCTCACTGTCAGCATCCAGCAGTCATAGTGGGTCCTTTCTTAGACTTGTAAACCTACAAGGACACACTGTGACCATCCAAAGTCTATAGCTTACGCTGGGGTTCATTCACGGTGTACTTTCTGGGTTTGGACAAACGTATAATGACACATTCACCATCGTACTGTACTATACAGTATAGGTTCACTGCCCTAAGTGTTATTTTTCCAAAAGTAATAACGGGGAATAAGGTGGGGCACATTTCTAATGATTGTCCTTTTCCCCCATCTCCAGAAACAAAAAAAAGATTTTTTTAAATCCTCACCCAAGGATACGCTTATTGATTTCAGAGAGGGAGGAAGGGGGAAAGAAGGGAAGGGAGGAGAGAGAGAAACATCTATCAGTTGCTTCCCATCTGTGCCCCAACCAGGGATTGACCTGCAACCCAGGTTTGTGCACTGAGTGGAAATCAAACCCACAATCTTTTGGTGCAAGAGACAATACTCTAACCAACCAAGCCAACACAGCCAGGATGAAATACATTTTGTTTTCAAAAAAAGATCAAGTTATTTGTCAATGAGCTCCATTCAAAGCAGACAGCCTATTTTATACTTTTGTGAACTGCTATCTCATCAATATTAGCAATTTCAACTGGCACTGAGGATAACTTTAAATTGAAAGGCCCCCATCACAAACAAACAAAAAAAGCCTTTATTTTAAAATAAAGTCTGAAACAATCTATAATGGTATTTACCTTCGATCTAGAGCCCATGATTACTCCACAATGTCAAAAAGCCTAAAGGCTTTGGCTTTAGTAGGGACTGTACAACAAAGAGTTGAATCATAAATCTATCAAATCAAAAGCTCCTCTCAGCCAAATTTCTTATATGGGAACTTCTATCAATAGCATGGCACAGCCCTGGCTGGTGTGGCTCAGAGGATTTAGAGCTGGCTTGCAAACCAATGGGTCGCCAGTTCAATTCCCAGTTAGGACACATGCCTGGGTTGCAGGCCAGGTCCCCAGTAGGGGGCACTTGAGAGGCAACCACACATGGATGTTTATCTCCCTCTCTTTCTCCCTCCCTTCTCCTCTCTAAAAATAAGTAAATAAAAATCTTAAAAAAAAAAAAAAAAAGGCACAGCACAGCCCTGGCCAGGTAGCTCAGTTAGTTGGTACACTGTCCTTTACACCAAAAGACTGCAGGTTGATCCCTGGTCAGGGCACATACCTAGATTGTGGGTTTGATCTCTGGTTGGAGTATATATGGGAGGCAACCAGTTGATGTTTCTCTCTCTCCACCCCCAAGAGCTTGGGTGAGGATTGAAAAAAAAAGGCAGAGCATAGAGGCCTCATTTAATCAACAATCTGTAATGATTTTTAGACTTAGTGATACCTAACATTTTAAAAACTGAATTAACACAAAGGAGTTTTTAAACAAACATACCAGAATCTTTACATCTAAGCAAAATACAGAAGCTCACTTTGGTAGGCAGAGCTTCCATTTATGCATTTGCTACCTAAGACATATTTGGAACTACTCTGAAACTGTCCGTTCCCTTTCTCTGCAACCTTTCTTTTCTCTGACCCCATCACACTGCTTCTCAATTTAATTCCCCTTAGGGACCTTAGGACTCCACTCTTCCTTTCCTCTATCAGTATGCTAGATGCTAAAAGACCTTAGAAAGAGAAGTTGAGAAGGGTAAAAGTGAGAAGGAAAAGCCTTATTCAGAGTATACATATAATTGTTTTACTGTCCACCTAAGAACAATAAGTTGATAAGATGAAAATAATTAGCTGAGAACTCTACAAACCAACCAATATAAGATGAAATTGGCTTAAGTTAATCATTTTTAGAAGGCATTTTAAAAAAGCACGAGTAGAAATTAGGAAAATATAAATCAATTTTAAAAGAACAATTAAAATTCTATTAAACACCAATACAGAGAAAGGTTTCATCACTAGCACCTGTAGTCTAGAAACATGACTGAAAAATATCAATTGTAACAAAATGCTAATACTTAAAATAACCCTTTGGGTTTTTTTTCTTTTTGCCATACATAATCATGATCAGAAATCTAAAACAGCCCTGGCTGGTGTAGCTCAGTGGATTGAGTGTGGGCCTGCGAACCAGAGGATCGCGGTTCGATTCCCAGTCAGGGCACATGCATGGGTTGCAGGCCGGTTCCCTGCAGGCCACTTCCCAGCAGGGGATGCACGAAAGGCAACCGTACATTGATGTTTCTCTCCCTGTCTCCTTCCCTTCCCCTCTAAAGATAAATAAAAATAAAAATCTTAAAAAAAAAAAAGAAAGAAATCTAAAACATTACTTAAAGCAAAACAAAAAAAATATGCACTGAATTTTAATAGTTAATTTACCATGAGTAGTAAGATTATGGGCAATTTTTCTCTTCCTTTTTTTTAAAGTACCTAGATTTTATTTAATAATTTAAACGTTTTCAAAAATGTTGATAAACAAAAGCAATACTTAGAGCTGGATGACAAACATGCTTTTAATATACGGTTTTCATCCTAGAATGTGACTTTTTCTGAAAAATATTCAATTTTAGGCCTCTTGGTGCAAGCAGGTTCCATGGATGTACCAAAAAAAAGGTGAACAGTCCCCATAAGAGACTGTAATTTCTTTGAAAAAATTCTCCCATCCACGGTGAAGCCAAAGGGCTCAAAGCCTTTCCAGAGGCAGCGAGCCACGGCCACCTCCTCTCCCTTACTGGTCCGACACAGCCTCCAGTCAGACCTGTCAGGGGTGCTAAGGACAGCTTCACTCGCCAGGATCTCCCTTCTGAACCACAAAGGAAAATTCTTTTTAATTCCGTGGAAAAGCTTCTCTCTCTGTCAAGTTGTACATAAAAATATGCTGCCCCGGCTGTTCAACTGAAGTAAACAGAGATGCCTGAAGTCGGAGCGCTCTGGGGTTTCCAGCACTTCTATCTGTTGCTCCTATGCCTGGGTAATGAAAGCATCTTTTTCAAAAAAATATTTTTATTGTGATAAAATCTATGATTTTATTTTTTTAATTTATTTATTTTAATTGTTCAAGTACAGTTTTCTGTCTTTTACTCCCATCCCAGCCCACACCCCCCCAGTGCCCCCACCTCCCTCTCATTTCCACCCTCCTTATTTTTGTCCATGTGCCCTTTATACTTGTTCCTGTAAATCCTTCCCCTCTTCCCCTGAAATTCCCTCCCCTCTCCCTTCTGGACACTGTCAGTCTGTTCTCTATTTCAGTGTCTTTGGTTATATTTTGCTTTCTTGTTTGTTTTGTTGTTTAGGCTCCTGTTAAAGGTGAGATCATGTGGTATTTGTCTTTCATCACCTGGCTTATTTCACTCAGCATAATGCTTTCCAGTCCCATCCATGCTGTTGCAAAGGGTAGGAGCGCCTTCTTTCTTTCTGCCGCATAGAATTCCATTGTATAAATGTACCACAGTTTTTCATCTATTCATTTACTGATGGGCACCTAGGTTGCTTCCAACACTTGGCTACTGTAAATTGTGCTATGAACATTGGAGTGCACTGGGTTTTTTGGATTGGTGTTTCAGGGTTCTTAGGCTATAATCCTAGCAGTGGAATTGCTGGGTCAAAAGGCAGATCCATTTTTAGTTTTCTTAGAAAATTCCATACTGTTTTCCATAGTGGTTGTAGAAGGCATCTTTAATTTAGTCATCGGTGGTGCAGGGGCTGAGTGGCATAGGAATGACCTGGAGCTGGAGGTGATGGCTCTTACAATTTCTCTCAAATAGAATGCCATTTCCCTCAACTCTTAAAGAACCTCCGCAGTGTAGCCTTATATTTCTCCACCTCTTCTACCACCTTTGCTGAAAGGTCCACCACTCACTGGTAGTGTCCAGTGGGCAGCATAAGGACATGGTCATGAGACAAGCCTCCTTTGGTCGGGGCAAGGTAGCAATGTGTGCCAATGTTGACCACCATATGCTTTTCCACTTCAGGGCTGGCAAGGCAAAACCAGCAGGGTCCTGGAGGCTGAGGGGGTTTGTGCGGCTGCTTTGGATGAGAAGAAGACTTGCTATTTCTGCCTGTGAATGAACGCATCCTTCCCTGACTTTGATTTAAATCAAAGAAAAATTGACAGGCTGACCTTCCTCAGGGGCAGGAATTTGTTTTCCCATGGATGCTTCCTTCCCCGATTTTCTGTAAGGGTTTTCGGTGACATCAGGAGGCTATTTTACCAGTTCTGCTGCATCCATTAGTTTCATGGGAACAATACTAAATGCATAAAGATACTTTTTCTTCTCTGGATTTCCAACATTTGCCAAAGCTATGAACCTGGTGGCGTGCTGTGCATTTTCTCACAGAACGATGTGGTTTTGACATGGAAGCCTCTCATGTGTCTTTTCCAAAGCAGCAAAATGATCTTGGTTTCAAGCACGTGGCAAGAGAGACCAAAGCAGAGCCACGCTTTTTGGTATCTACTTCTCCTTAGACCAAGGGGATGCGAGCAAGCTATGAACACCCTTAAACTGGGGTGAGGAACACAGCACTGTTCTCAGTGAAGACACATCCTTGGGACCAAAACTGTAACGGGGCCGGCTCCTTTAAGGACTTTGTCCCACTGAGGTACACAATCTGCAGCCCCGAGCTTCCAGAAAGACACCTTTCCAACAAGAATATGTAATGTTTTCAGCTAATTCACATCCATCAGCATCCTGGAAATATTTTACTGTTTCTTGATTACTGACACCCAGCATGTATGTCTGGATAGAAGTTTTTTAATTCCAGTTTTATATTCTTCCCATTCAGCATCTGGAGTGGGGCCAAAGAAATTTCAGACACAGCAGTTTCTAAGCCATCGGTCCCCAAAACAGGGTTGAGACCACCACCAAAAACTAAGACACTGTACCTGCACCCCTCCAAAAAAATCCAATTTTAATTTTCTTCTTGAAACTTTTTCGTTGTTTTCTAAAATGCACATATATGAATGTTTAACCTTCCTTCTCTCTTCCTTCTGTTTTTTCTATGTTATATTTCTAGTTAGGAAAAAAGAAGTGAATTAGGGGAAAACGGATTCTATACAGACACTCATAGTGTACTTCTTTTACAGGTACTTCTAATTAAAGTTCAAGGTATAGAATCAACTTCCCATTATCCCTTTCAATGAAGGACAGTGGTATCACAGATAATTCTAAACAATGTTTATTTAATTTATCTATACTTCCATATTTGTAAACTGATGATTAAAAATATCTCTATACATCTCGACATCACAAAAACAAACAATACAATTAAAAAATGGGTGGAGGATCTGAACACCTTTCCAAGGAGGACATACTGATGGCCAACAGATGTATGAAAGGATGCTCAACATCACTAGCGATCCGAGAGATACAGATTAAAAACACAATGAGATATCACCTCACACCAGTCGGAGTGGCTGTCATTAATAAATCAACAAGTGCTGGCGAGGATATGGAGAACAGGGAACCCTAGGGTGCACTTCCAGTGAGAATGTAAATTGGTGCAGCCACTATGAAAAACAGCATGGAGGTTCCTCAAAAAATTAAGAATAAGAGCTACCACATAACCCAGCAATCCCTCTTCTGGGTATCTACCTGAAAATTTTGAAAACATTTACTCATAAATATATATGCAGCCCTGTGTTCACTGCAGCATTATTTATTTACAATAGCTAAGATATGGAAACAACCCAAGAGTCCTTTGACAGACGAATGAATAAAGTTGTGGTACACGTGTATAATGGAATACTATTCCACCATAAAAAAGATAAAATATTGCCCTGGCTGGTGTAGCTCACTGGATTGAGCGCAGGCCTGTGAACCAAAGTATCACCGTTCGATTTCCAGTTAGGGCACATGCCTGGGTTGCAGGCCAATTCCCAGCAAGGGACTCACAAGAAGCAACCATACATTGATATTTCTCTCCCTCTCTCCTTCCCTTCCCCTCTAAGGATAAATAAATAAAATCTTTTTTAAAAAAAGATGAAATATTGCCATTTTTGACAACATGGACAGATCTTGAGTATTATGCTAAAGGAACTAAGTCAGATGGAAATGACAAGAACCACGTGATTTCACTCATATGGGATATAAAACACAAATCAAAAAACAAACTCCTAGAGAGAGACAACAGAATGGTGGTTACCAGAGAACGGGGGAAGTCAACAAGGGTAAAGGGGCTCAAATACATGGTGATAAGAGGAGACTAGACTTTGGGTGGTAAGAGTAGACAGATGGCATATTACAAAGTCGTACACCTGAAATCTGTATCATGTTATTAGTCAATGTTAGCCCAATAAATTTAACTGTTTTAAAAAATCTCTAGATTCCACTCAATAGCTGAGTGACTTTCAGCCCCTATTTAATTGTCCATTCCTTCTCTAGCACTTTAATCTTGTATTTTCCTCCAGTTCCTGTCTTCATGTCACAAATACAACTTAGCTTGAAGAAAAATATTCAATAATCAGCCCCTCAACTATATTCCGCATTATGAAGGCATGCCTCACCATCCCTCAATCCAGTATTCTTAAATGGTAGCAATCTCTGATCATTACTAGTTCTTTTTTTGTCATGTTTCTAAAATATACTTTCTTCTCTGTCCTTACTGTCAACATCCTATTCCAATCCTCTATAAGAGCTCAAGGGGATAGCAGCAAAGCTGTGAATACCTGGACCTGCCCTTTCGATCTGAAGCCCCGCTACACTCCCACACAAACACAGCACTTCTACATGTTTTTGGACTGTGCTATTCCACTTCCACTCCTTCCCCCCACAATCTACCAAAACCTAGCAATTCTACCGGTTCCAATCTTAAAAATCCTAATTACCTGTACCACACAAACAACTTTGCTCCAAATGAGTTATACACATCTTGTACTTCCAACTAGACTATAAGATTCCTGACTATATCTTCTGACTATATCTTCTGCTTCTTTATCAATTAGCTATCACCTACAGGAAAAGTTCAAACACCTGAGCATGAAAAACAAAGCCCTTCACAATCTAAACAGCCCAGCCAGTGTGGTTCAGTTGGTTGAAGCATCGTCCTGTAAACTGAATGGTTACGAGTCTGAGTCCCATTCGGGCATATGCCTATGTTGTGGGTTTGGTCCCAGTCAGGGAGTGTTCGAGCGGCAACTGACTGATGTTTCTGTCTCTCATTAATGCTTCTCTCCCTCTCCCTCCCCTCCCCTCTCTCTAAAATCGATAAGCATGTCCTTGGGTGAGAATAAAAATATTAACAAATAAATATAAGTAAACACAATCTACCACTCTGAAGTCACCTCTCATCACTTCTTCCAAGCAACTACATCACCATTCTCTTCCGCCTTTGACCTCCAAGCAGACTATTGTTGGGCTATTGTGGGCCATACTGATGGCTACCCCATGCCATCATTCTGTCAAATGGCTAATCATCCTTCAAGTCCGAAGGGTTATGTCATCTCTGTAAAGCCTTTCCCAAGGTCCCAGGAAGTAGTCTCTCCTAAGCCACTGCCCCTCCTCCATAAGCCCCACTTCATGGATACCCACAAAATCACAAAAAGTCATACATAGTTCACCCCTCCAGACATGAAAGGATAAAAAAGGGAAAGAAAAGGACACAGAAGATTTAAAGAATGGAAGAAAAGAAGAAAGTCTCCATCCATTTATAAAATTCATTGCTGACCCTTAAGAGCAGTTTCAATTCCACACCGAATCAGGATTCCCTCAGAAAAACAAAATTTTGTAAAGGCACTGCCAAGAGTTCAGTGGCAGACGAAGTCAATGCCAAACTGTCATTGACAAGGAGAATGTAACCCAAATACCTTACACATCTTACCTCCTTCTTCCTTCACTTCTTCACTAGGCTCTCCTGAAAAAGGCTCCTTTGTGATGGGATGATCACCTCTGTCTTCTTGGGTAACTGGCTTGGGCCTGAGTGTCAACTTCTTCCCTCTCCTTGAGCCAGTGGCTTGGAGTTTTTCTTTATCAACATGTATGTTAAGGGGCTGGGAAGACTCCAAGGAAGGAAGGCTGATGCCTTTAGAGATGGCCACATCGACAGCTTCTAGAACTGGTGTACTTGTGTCCTGGTTGAGTACCCTAGAGCTTAAAGATGGATCCTCCATACCAAGCTGATTTCCTGCATCCTGCATGGATTGAACTTCGAGGCCAGCTGCTGTACCATGACTTTGACACCAGGACAGTGACACTGACCTCAAGTCTTTAACCTGGTCAGATTCTGGTTTAACGGCTGACTCCAGGTCTAAGTCATTTTCCTCCTGGTTGCCCTGATGCTGTGGCAACTCAGTCACTGTAGTTCTTCTCCTCTTAGTGGGCAACATTTTAAAAGTCCTACTGTTGTTCCATTCTGAAAGGATAAAACCAAGTTCTTATGACCTTCACATTAATTATGATATTTCCTCAAATATCTTTTTAGTTACTCACATTCAATCATGAACACAGTACTTTATACCAAATGCACAATCACCCATCAAGTGGAAGTGAACAGATCTTGGTTCAGTGACTTAACCTCGATAAACTTCAGTTTCTGCAACTGTGAAAAACAATTATTTTTATCTCATAGAGTTGTTATAGGAATTACATAATAAGTGGCCCCGGCTGGTGTAGCTCAGTGGATTTTGCACTAGTCTGTGAACCAAAGGGTCACTGGTTCAATTCCCAGTCAGGGCACATGCCTGGGTTGTGGGCCAGGTCCCCAGTGGGGGCCACGTGAGAGGCGACCACACATTGATGTTTCCTCCCTTTTCCCTTCCCTTCCCCTTGTCTAAAAATAAATAAATAAAATCTTAAAAAAATAATTACATAGTAAGTGATAATAGTAAGCATCAGTTATTATTACCATCAAGAGGCTTAGACAAGCATGATGCTGAGAGCAAACTGTGTCAAGCCACCTGGATTTGTTTCCCAAGTCTGCTTCTTGCCAGCTTTGCGACCTGGTAATAAGTTACTTAACCTGAATCTGTTTCTTCAGTGATAAAATGAAGTAAGAATAGCCCCTACAGCATTAGATAGTAATTTATTAGATCAGAAAATACTTTCTATTGTTGTTTCCATTAACAGAAACAATCCAAAAGCAAGCTACGGTTGTTTAAAGAGTTAGGCCATATTGAAATTGTGTAAGGTAAACAAGAGATTCCTACTGTACTGTGTTACTTCTGGACTCTTGCTTTCCATCCCACTCATCACATCATAAGGGCAACACTAACCTAAACTAGAGGGTATCTTCTTTTATGTGCTTATAGCACCTGTTTGCAAGCTTTTTTTTCTTTAAAGATTTCATTTACTGTTAGACAGGAAGGGAGGGAGAAAGAGAGGGAGAGAAACATCGATGTGTCAGAAAAACATGGAGAGCAACACTGATCAGTTGCCTCACCATCACCCCAACTGGGGTCCTGAGCCACAACCCCTAGCATGTGCCATGACTGGGATTCAAACCTGTGACATTCCCCTTGAAGGTGGGTGCTCAACCCACTGAGCAACACCAGCCAAGGCTGCAAATCTTTTATAATAATTATCACTTTTGTGATTGCCTCCTGTCTATCTCCTTCCTATCTCCCTCCACAAAAACTATATGCTTTATCAGGAAAAGGGCTCTTTCAACTAGTACCCCTAGACTGGGCAGTATCAGCCCTATTGCAGACAATGAATATTCCTTGAATGAATGAAATAAAATGAATGAAAGAGGACGTGAACTTTCTACTCCATGCTTATTTTATGCATCAGTTGGACCTAGAGTTAGGCTTTATATGGAAACTTGTTACCAAAAAAAACCCCAAAACTTTACTCCATAAAACAGGTACAAAAATAAGAGTAAGCTGCCTTGCCTTACAGTGAGTTCTTCACCACTGACAATGTTCAAAGTCTGAATGAATGCCCATCTACCAGGTCACTCAATGAAAGCTTGGACTAGAGGGCAGCAAAATAAAGCTTTAACTCTTAAGCGTCTGAACTGTAAGGTTAGTTTTAAAGCTCCCTAATTCAGTTTCCACACGTCACTAGAAGTCTCCCCCCAGCCTCCAATCTACCGATGCCCTTAAAAGCTCAATAAACACGTGAAGATTCGGTTGGCCCCCGTAAGGGAGGATGGTGATCGGATTAGAGGAGTGGCAGTAGCTTAGGAGAGTCCTGTATTTCACAGATGAATTACTGAGGTTCAGAAAGGGGCGGGGGGGGGGGAGAGAAAAGAAAACAAAGGGGGAAAAGCTACTATTTAAAGTCAATAGCCTCTAGGGTTCGGCTCCAGGCAATGATAACACAGCAGATCTAAACAGGCTCACCTTTTGGGAACTGAAGTCAGACCAACAGGGTGAAAGAATGCAAATCCAGGGGGTAGCCCTTGCGCGAGCTCCTCCGGGGAAAAGATTTTTAAAAGGGGTCCTAACTGTGCTTTTACCTAGGCGCCAAGCACTGGCATAAGACCCCACTCCCAGTTAGACAGCCTCACTTCCACCTTGTCAGACACCCCGCGCCAGCCCTGAGAACCGACTTCCTCAGCCCGGTCACCCTCCGCACGGACGTCCAGCTCCCACTTGCCTCTTCCCGCCTCACGGCACAGGACCCAGTTACCCTCAACAGCGCCTGATCTCGCGGAAACTCGGCGTCTGTGCCACCGGAAGTCAGCCGGCTGCGACAACTTACGTAAGCCCCCCCCCCCCCGTCGCGGTGCGTGGCGTCAGGACGTCAAAGAGCCCACGTCAACCACTAGGCGCTGTCCTATTTTAGAGTGGCATGAAGCCAGACGGCTAGCACGTCAGTTGTGGGCAAAAAAATTTAAAGGACCCTGGTTGGTGCGGCTCAGTGGATTGATTGCCAACCTGCAAACCGAAAGGGCTAGATTGGATTCCCAGTCAGGGCACATGCCTGGGTTGCGGACCAGGTCTCCAGTTGAGGGCGTGCGAGAGGCAACCAATGGATGTTTCTCTCATGCACCGATGTTTCTCTCCTCTCTCTCACCCTTCCCGCCTCTCTAAAACTAAATAAATAAAATATTTTTTATAAAAAATGTGAAGTAAATAACTCTCTTTCTCGTCCCATGGAGCTATACCATACAAAACAAAACTGTAGATTGAGATTTATTTAACTTGAAACTAATCCTCCTCACCGCTAGACACCAGGAAGAAGGGACCAAGGGAATGGAGAATTCAGAACATCTCAGAAAGGAGTTCTGAGATGCACCCTCCCCCAAATGCAAATAGTGCATTTTCCCGAATACTGCTAAGGCACTAATGGACTCACTCCATAGTAATTACTCATACGTATATAATACTTTGCCATTTTACAAAATGCTTTCACTTATGTTATCATAGGTGATTTTATCTTCACGATAAACCTATGTAACAATAGGTTCCATAGGTGTATATATTACTATACTTTCCAATTTACACAAGACAAATTTCTGGCCCAGCTGGGTAGGTAATTTCCCAAAAATATACAGCTATCAAGGAGAATCAGGTTCCTTAACTATCTTCTAATGTATTGATCCAGTGCCCAGGAAGGTGCTTGGGGCATAGTCAATGTTCAATAAGTCTATACCTATGTTTTGAACCAGTGAATGACTCCTAGAACTATTTCCACATTTCTAGGAGAGAATGTCAAAGCTGAAAAAATATATTCAATTCTAATTTACAAGTGAACTACCAACAAATATTTACAAATGTAAATAATCTGACCTGATGCTGTCTTATAAACAGAATCCAACAGGATGAAAGTATCCACAGCCAAAATGAAGAGTGAAATTGATGTGATCATGGACCTAACCGCAGTCTGACTTTAACCTGAATCACCCTAATTCTTCCAAACGCCAAGGAAGTCTCTAAAAGCTTGGAGTTTCATTTGTGTCCTGCTTGTGAACCTGCAGAATATGCGTATCTATTGGTTTGTACGCGCTTTCTCTCTCCTAAGCGGCCCTAACCACTTGGCACTTTAGAAAAGAAGTGCCATTAACTTTGGTAATCTTCATTTGTCTTTTTATAAAGATAGCTTTAATTTACGCACCACAAAATTCATTCGTTTTACTCGTATAATTAAATTATCATAAGTACATTTTCAGAGTTGTGAAACCACCACGAGGTTCGATCTTTCATTAGAGTTTTAATTACAGTTTCTCCGTTTCTGAAGTTAAGAAAATTTCCATAATCACCTTTAGTGGGCTCAGAAATACATAATAATGGCAAGTGCTACTGAAATGCGAACAGTGTATAATTTTGTTTTTCCGAAATCCTGAGCTCCCTCTCACCCAGAATATTCTGCTGCTATACTAAGCCCAGAGGACCAGAATCACAGGATCTATAGGTTCTCATATGATAATATACCTACATTTCTTACTCCGTCTTGGTCCTAGGGGTTTTCTTCTTTATACCTACAGCTCGCCAGGGGGCGGGGTCTCGTTCTCAGGATATCAAGGCAATGGGGTCCCCTCACCGAGGTTTTCCGGAAAGGGGCGGTGCATGCTTTCCGGAACTTTTCGGGCAGAGGCGGAGTCTTCTGCCGAGGGCCGTTCGGAGGAAGGCGGGGTCTACCTCGCATCAGGACCAGTCGGGTTGCACCTGCATCCTTAGCTCAGAGCATCTTAAGAGGCGACTGCAGCTGGCAACCAGGGACCATAGCGTCGCAGGAGGCGTCCACCAGATATCTCCCCCCTCCCCAGACCTAGCGCTGTACAGCAGCAGTGGGCTCAGTTCTGATCCGGGATTCCCAGAGTTGTCTGACCGTTGCAAAAACATTTATAGCAATAGCCTCTGATTACGACATGGCCGAGATCACCAATATACGACCTAGCTTTGGTAAGTACAAGTTGGGAAAACTAAGCCTGGGGTAGTCGAAAGCGTGGCAAAGCCAGGGAGTCCAACGGCTGGACAGGGAATGAAGCCCAGACCAGGGAATCGGGCCTGTGGTGGTGGTGAACGGCGCCTGAACTTGAGCTATGAGCTGCAGAAGCTGGAAAGGCTAGAGCCAAACGGAGGCTGGAAGGTCCAGGATGCTAAAACCTTGTATGGTGCACCGTCAGCACTACAGGAGATGAGAAACAGCGAGCTTGCGGAGGATGGAACCCCTCCTTCTGGGGGAGGAGAGGTGGAGTAGGCCGAGCCCTCCCCCTTGGGGCACGCAGGGCGGTGCCCCTTCCTCCCCCTCCTACTCCTCAGTACTGCGGGGGAGGGAGGTGGCCAGGGGGGATGAGGCATCAAGATGGCAGCTTGGAGAATGTGGGGTGGGTGGCTGGCATCCAGGGGAGGCAGCAGCCTCTAGGGAGAGAGCTGCGGGGGTGGGGAGCAAAAAGGAAGACACTCCTTAAGCCGGTCAGCTGTATGCTGGAGCTGGGAGGAAACGTGAGCCCTCCAAGTTCTATTCTGCATCGTAATGGTGGGGTCTGTCCGATGCTACCAAATGGCGCTTGGTGCTGCTGGGCTGGGGGATGACGTTATGTCTATTTCTGGGCCTCCTGGCAGCGCCTAGGCGCTCCCTTCTAGGCCTTTGTTCCCTGTTCCCTGGGACGGCTTTTCAAAAAGGGGGAGTTCACCCGCGCTAGTGCTGGAGCTAGCAGGGGCCCGATCCAGGCCGGAGGGGGAGGGGCAAGAGAGGCCGAGCCTGGGGGAGGCCGCTTTGTGTACCGGAGAAAGCATTACGTCATCTCGGCGAGGCTGGTCCCTGACCCAGCCCTTCGGGCTCCGAGATTAGTTACATTCCTTGGAGCAGAGAGTGGAGTGGAAAATAGGGAGGACAGAGAAGCAAGTGTTTTGCTCTTAGGGAATGCCTCCAAACTATGGTAGGGTAACAAACTACCTGTGCTATGCTTTGCTGATGCAGTACTAAAAAAAGAATTGACCTGCTTCTTCCTCAGTTCTACCCCAGTTTGGGTAGTAGAAGCAAAGAGAGTTGCTGTCAGCCTGTGATTCCTTCATATCCCTTAAGAGATCCCAACCTTCAGACAACCCAGAAGGTTTGAGCATCCAGTGTTTAGGGTGGTGCCACCATCCAACTAGAAAATGATGTTTCTCACTCCCCAGTAAGAGGTTTATGGAAGTGAGCAGAACATAATGTGCTCCATCCATCTCTCAATATCCGGAGCAGACACAAACCAGGGAAAGTATCCAGGCAACAGATTATACCCTTTAACTCCTTATTCACACTGATGCCCAAGGCTAAATCCTGATGGTATTTCTTCCACTTCACCTTCTGTATCACTATTCTTTGAGTCCTAAATTTCCAAAATAGAGGTCCCTTTCATGATTGGATGATCACCCTATGCTTTCTGCTCTTTCTTTTTCCTTTTATGCCTTCTTTTCAACATACACTTTTTTCTAATTGCAGCTTCTGATTCCTGGGAAGGTGAGATGTTGTAAAGTATAATGTAGTGATTTCCTTTAGAGGGAGTATTAGTGGGAAAGCTAAAAGAAATTTTATCAGCCTTTTACATACTATATTTTATTTCATCCTTACAAATACCCTCTGGTGTAGGCATTATTATATATATTTTTCCAGGTGAGGAAACTGAGGCTTAGGTAGATAAAATAAATAAAAGTCATACAAACTAGTGAGGGTTGTGCCAGTATCCAACTGATGCCAAAGTTGATTCTCATTTTTGTCACACGGGTCTGTTTGACAGGGAAAGGCTATTTTAGCAAAGGAAGTCAATAAGCAGGTCTGATCAGGGACTGACGGAGTTGAGCATAGTCCAAAGGTGTCTCTCAGGTCTTTCAACCCTTACAGAGGGTTTCCTATACAGAGAACAGTTATTTCTGACTTTTTCATGTCTCATAGAGTACTTCTTTTCAAACGCAGTAGCTCTTAGGAGATACACCAAACCCTCACTTCCTTTCATTTTTTTTTTCATTTGTTATTGTTTCCAGATCTTTTACTATCTTCATTACTCATAATGTAGAATCACTTTGGTACCAGGCACACCAGGGTTTAAACCTCATCATTGCCATTTGCTGCTGCTTGGCCTGGGGCAGATTGGGGTCCCCAGGTTCCCCAAGTGTGAAGTATGGTTACTAACTATCTATTCAGTGAGTTCTCTGACTCAGAGAGAAAAGCTCTAAGTACAATGCCTGGCATGGACATTATTAATGTACACAAAAAATAACAGTTTTTATTCCTGTCAGTGCTAAACAGAACACTCCATGTGAGTTATGATCAGTACAGATGAAATTATAGTAGGCTCCTGTCGTCCGGACATCATGTTCATAGTGTAAGTCAGCATTAGCCTAATTGTACTCCAAGCTTATGGTCACTCAGACTACCAACTTGTTTTTGCTCACACTTGTCAAGTAAGGTCAGTCCGATGTTGCTCAATGACAGGTTTTGAATTTTACATTTTCCCTGGTGTATGTAATCAGACAAACCTTACCCTCTTTTTACGACCTGTGGAAGCTGTTTGGATTTACTAACTCATTCTTTCACTGAACGCTTGCTATGTGCCGCATGATTCTAGGACCTGTGGAATGGCAGTGAGAGAACAGACACTCACTATTCTTTTTTTCCCAAAGATTTTATTTATGTATTTTTAGAGAGAGGGGAAGGGAAGGAGAAAGAGAGGGAGAGAAACATCAATGCGTGGGTGCCTCTTGAGTGGCCCCCACTGGGGACCTGACCGCAACCCA